GAGTTATACTTGGATCTCAACTCCTATAGACCATGAATTTGAGAGTTATAAAAGATGGTTCTTTATCCCTCAAGTAATAGAAGATAGAGAATGATGGAAAATTGGTGGAGGAGATTCACCAAGAGGACTCTAAAGGGTAGCCTGTCACCGGATGGCTTGGTCTATAGATTTTGGTATGGAACCTTAAGTCCCTTGTGTGATTTAAGGACAGATCCGAGCAAGTTATTTATCGATTTTATTTATTTATTGATTGATTTTTATTATTGGGACTAACAGAAACAAAGGATTATATGACTTTCTCATACCAATAATATGTGATCCTAGAAGGAGATTCAACTAATGTTATTGCATAGTGCAAGTCAAATGGTAGAGTTACTTGGGTAAGAAGGTCCATTAAGGACGGGATAAAAAATCGTATAGGTAACAAGGATACATTGTTTTGCAAATCAATAGAGAAAGGAACCACGCAAAACAATAGAGAAAAGAACCACCTTGAAGATACACTCGCTATAAGAGTGTGTATACAAGAAGGTGATTTAAGGTTGAGTTTCTTATATTCATCTTCCCCCCTTTGAATGGAAATTTTTTCATTTTGCCCTTTGGATTTTATTTCTATGTATATAGAACATGATTGTAACAATAAAAGGTCGAAATATTTATGTTGGAAATCCATATACTTGGAGCTCTAGAAATAGTGCAGATCTCAAGGTTTGTCAAGAAGTAAAAAAAATAGTGCAAACAAAAATGTAAAAAAAAACACATTTTTTATATGAAAAAATTATTTTTTATTTTTCAACTTTATTTTTCCAAATTCATCGTATTCAAGCTCATGAACCTATAAATTTGTTATCATTAAATCCATCCATATGATGAAACTTGAAAAGGAAGACAAATACAAATAAATGTGTTAGCTAACGCATCATAACCTCATCCTTTTCTCAAACTCAATAAGGATGAACTTCTTTTCCAAGTGGTTAGAAATTATACCCCATAATTCTTAGTTTCCAAAAGAGGTCGGAGGTCTGGACCCTTGTCTCAGAAAAACGCACAATACCACTTTTTAGTAGTGTTTCATAATTGTTTTCAGTGCAAATTTGAGTGATTTTCAAGCGAAAATCCCCCAAATTGATGCCACCAACTAGTTAATCTAAAAATAGTAGAGATCTCGAATTGCAACCTAGAGGACGATCCGCTCATGCGGACAAACATTCCCATAGATTTTCGACAAAGCCAACACCATCTTTACACGAAAATATTAAGTAAATGCAACTGAAACTAAGATATATCCAAGAATAATTAAAAGGGAATAAAATATAAACTTACCTGCTTGGCCAGTTTGCCCGGGACTACTGAAGTTCGAAGCTTCGATTGTATCAGGACTGCGGCTTTGTTTACACCGTCTGTCTTGGCATTGGTTGAAGTGTTTGTTCTAGATTCCTAGGTTAGGGTATTCCTAGTTCTAATATTTGGAGGGCTGAAGTATGGACTTTTCTAATGCAATTTATTGTTCTTCTCCCTCCTAAAGTTCTAAGTATATCACTTCATTCATTTATGTATCTCCTAAGCATGTGGACTAAGTGACTTAAGTGACCAACCTTCAAGAGGTTGTACCCTTTTATAAATGGCCAAGTTGAAAAAGGGATCGGGATACTCATCTATCCAGTTGAAATCATGTGCTAAAATTATGCCAGACAAAGCATTAGACGACACGAGACGTGTCATCTAGGTCAATCTGGCCTAGATGACATAATTGTGTCGTCTAGTATGCGTCAACCAAAAACAAAAGCTTGGCATCAAATGGCCCAAACGACATGAGATGTGTTGTTTTTGTCAAATTTGTGATGTGTTGTCTGGGTCAAAGACAACCAGAATAACGGGATTTCGGTTCTTGTCATCATTCCTGTGTTGTTGGATGATTATTATCTCACTTTTGAATTTAAGCGCTATCCATATACTGTATTTTTATTATTTTCAAATTTAAATGAGTATGAACTAGGGACTATAGAACATGGTGTTTGTGGTTTAAGATCTTATGAGATAGTGTGGTCCTAAGGGTTTTCTAAATTTTTCTACAACTAAGAAAATAAAAGAAATTTGCCAAATTAAAAAAATGGGTTTCCATGGTGAGAGGCAAAAAAGTAGATACTGCCGACATTTAAGACCTATGAGACTAGGTGAAAACCCTGAGACTAGGGTTTTAAAAATTGACGAATCGCAATGGACTCGCCCGAGTCGACACGAGAATCGATCACCCCGTGTTGCCCCATGTCCATTCTCTGTGAGACTGGGTGAAAACCCTGAGACCAGGGTTTTAAAAATCGGCGAGTCGCAATGGACTCGCCCGAGTCGACACGGGAATCGGTCATCCCGTGTTGATTCTTCTATAAAACAGGGAATTGCCCAATCCAAGAAGACAATCGGTGATTTTGAACAGTGAATCGCTCCAATTACGTCATAAATCGAGATTTCCATATGCTTTGTGAAGTCACAGGGCGAGTCCTTAACTGAGTATATTTTGGTAATTTTGTTCAAAATATGACCATAGGCGTACCCTTTCTCTCTATCGCGCTAACATTAAAGCTTTTGTAAAGATATTTATACCATGTAAATTTTCTCCAATTCTTCGATGTGGGACTTGCGCTAAGCGATATTATGTTGAAAAGTTATTCAATATGAGTAATTATTGTAGAAGACTCTTTAACAGTGCTCGAAGGGTTGTGGTGGCTAGCAGCAATGTTTCTATGTGTGACATCCCAAGCTCGAATCCCAGTTGGGATGCTATTGTGCAATTCACTTTTTGTCTTCATAAAAAAGTAATAATAATAATATCATAATAAAAAAAAAATAAAAAGAAGATAGGTTTATACTTTTGTCTTAAAAAAAACACTAAAATGAAGAAAATAATATCATCAAAAAAATAAAAAAACTAAACAATAGAGAAAATTATGTATATATCCGTTATATTATGCATTATTACAGATCCACCTTTCAGTTTCCGTTATTACCTCCAAGTCCGTTTTTTCACTTTCATAATGAGATTTTTTAAAAAAAGATGATTTTACCCATTTTCGAGTGTTGAACAACCGAAATAAAAAAAAATTCGGGTTTTTCAACAACTGAAAGAGGGAATAGGTCTTTTAACCTTCCCGCTCTAACCGAAATTAGGGTTTTTGAGTGTTGAAAAATCGAAAATCCAATTTCGGATGTTCAACACCCGAAATTAGTTGGGGCTCCTTTAAAAAAAAAAAAACAGAACTGTTCTTGGGCTGTTTCGGTCGACGAACATCCGAAAATACTCCATCCCCTTCTTTTCCAATTTTTCTTACATTTTTAACCGAAATAACTATTTAAATTTGGACACTAGTATTTTGACAGAGAAATAACGACATTTGATGCATTTTGAGTTCATTTGGCAGATTCCCAATTTGTAGCAAGGCATGTATTATTTGAGGTTTTTATAACTTTAATTTTGGGATTTTTATAACTGTGATTTTGTGGTGTTTTTTTAATTTTTGAATGATACACATGAGTTATTGATTTATGTTTGTTTATTATTTATTGTTTAAGAATTTGTAAATTTGGGGTTATTGAGAACTTCAAATTTGGGGTTATTGAGAACTTCAAATTTGGGGTTTTATTATAAATCGATATCAATAACTTAATATAGTTAATTGTGTTGTTGTGTCAATGCCTATGACAATATATTTTGATTATTACGAGAGATTTCTATTATGTTTTTAAGCTTTTGGATGTTGTTTGTATCATTTTTCGTTTTGAGGATTTCGTTATTCAGTATTTGAATATGGTTGTGTATTGTGGCTGTATGGAAATGAATCCATATGTAAATTGAAATATATAGCTTTGTGTATTATCTATTGATTACGAATTTGTAAATTTGGGGTCATTGAGAACTTCAAATTTGGGTGTTTTATTACAACTCGATATCAAATTTGGGGGTTTTATTAGTTGAATGGGTTTGTGTTTTTGTGACTGTATGTAAATGAATCCATCTGTAATTTGAAATGTTTTGTGATTGTATGCAAATGAATCCATCTGTAATTTGAAATATATTGCTTAATGTAACACCCTTTGTTATAATTGAAGATGAATGACTTATGCTATGTTGGAGTTGTAATTTCAAACTAAGTAGCTTAATATGGATTTTTGTATGTTGTTGGATGTTGTTGTTTACATTTTGTTATAAATAACATTTGAGTTATAATTAAAAGCAAACAACAATAGTTGTTTTTATTTCTTCCCCTTTTAACCAATCTTTTAGTTGTATGAAATGGAGTTATAATGAATGGATGTGGGTTCTGTAATTCAATATTTATTATAGCATAAATTTTGATTAGGCATATAGATGGTATAAAGATGTATAGGTACACTGTCGTGGTTATCATATAAGAACAAAATTTTTGCCTTTTATACTTCATGCGCATTCCATTGTTATTGATATATGATTTACTGATATATGGATTACATACAAGCACATTCCACTGTTAGTGATATATGATTTACTCATATATGGATTACATACGAGTTGCAAATGTGTTAGTAACTCTATTTATAGTTGGATATGTAAATTTATTATCTCATTATTGTCTTAGAGTAGCAATGCATATGAAAATGCATGATGAAATTTTAATATGCATGATGAGTTATTGTTGTCTCGATTTCAGTCAATATAAATCATATCCATCCAAAGGGGGGATACCCTGGAGGTCCTCAGGACCCTAACTTGCTACAGCTTCATCCAGAGCATTCATCATATTACATATGGGAAGGAAACGTATATGAATATATTCATTCCCTATTTCTATAAGTTTGTTATATTTTAATAAATTTTGTTTATTTCAATTGCATATGGGAAGTACATGTGTATAATGTGACTTGTATGTGTCATATTTGTTATATTTCACGAAAAACAAAAAATTAGAATCAATGAGAAGACATTTCAATTGAACAATTGGTAACTAACTGAAGAGCAAGTTCAATTAATGAACACGTTTGGGTTAGGTGCTTTGTCTATCATTCCACCAGGTCAAATTGATCAGCCATTGGTTGCTACCAATGCAGAGAGTTGGCGCTCAGAGATCAATTCCTTCCACTATAACATTCAAATTGGTGAGATGACACCAACTTTATTTGATGTGTACGATATTTTAGGTTTGTCTGTGGTTGGCGAGCATGTTACATGCCGTCCTATTAATGCCCTACACAAGTTCATAGAGGACAATTTGGGTATAGTCCCCACTGAAGGCAACTTGACAGCCATAAAGCATTCATGGTTGAAGGCTAATTTTTGGGAATTGCCACCTGATGCATCCCCTGTGCAAATAGTCAAATATACTCAAGCTTATCTACTCTTCCTGATCAGCGTTACCAATTTCGCTGATGCATCAGTTGCAACAGTCCCAACAAGGTACCTGCAATTCTTTGAAGATATTGAGCAAGCTCACAGATATGCATGGGATGCTGCAGCCCTCGCATATCTATATCGTTTGCTTGGAAAAGCTTGTACTTTCAAGCGAAGACATTTCAGTGGTTCTGCCACTCTTATGCAGGTAAATTTAAATTTTGTATAGATATAAGCATAATACTTTAGACTACTTTGAAATATTTTCTTAACTTATCATATCTTGTTATAATGCAGTGTTGGTCTTATAAGCATATTAAGTGCATAATATATCTTCAAATGTGTTAAGGGAAAAACGTTGGGAGCCACTCAAGCATTATTATGGTAATCCACATAATTTGATGCCTCCCATTAAACAAGAGATAGATAACCTCCAACCAAATGAGGTCAGTTTGTACTTTGATATTCAATACGTTCAATTATATTATAGTATTTGTAATTTTTTTATTGACTGATTGTCATATGTGTGATTGCACTTCATATAACAGGTAATATGGAATTCGTACTTCAAGCTTGATGAGGAAATTTCAGATGATAGGCATGAGGCATTCGAAACTGTAATGTGCGTAACGACTCTAATCTTGCATGATATTGTCGAGCCATACATGCCAGATCATGTTTGCCGCCAATTTGGATCTAAACAGGGCATTCCAAGAAATCCTTTATCTGTTGGTAAGAGGTACAAGAGATATGGTAGGCAGCGAGATTGGCGAAATGTCAATTCTGACAAGATTCATCATTGAAGTCGATACTATGAATGGGTTGCCCTCAAAGAAGTATAAGGCTTGGTACAACCGAGTGTCCCATCCTATCATACGCCATGCCGCTAACCCACCTATCGATATTTTGTAACCTTGTAACCAGGAAGAAGAAGAGGTGGTCCCTGCACATGAACCACAATATATAATGAGACCTTGACGTTATGAGGATGATTGGTATGTATATTTTAACCTACAAATTGCTTTAGTTTTGTATTTGCTAATCAGTTTGTATGTTTGTTAACCTACAAAATGTTTTTGCAAGTTAGTGCAGTTCAGGCAAGTACAACCATGTTAGCAGAGGCACTTACACTTAGACAGAAGTGGTACTCTGAAGTATATAATCGTATTAACAACACATTTAAAATGTTGTCTAAGTTTGTGTCAGTCGATATGGAAGATATAGAAGCCAGGATGGAATTGTTACAACGTGAAGTTAATGAATAAGCTGTATAAGAAGAGGGCGGACAAGATGTAGTGGGTGAGAATAGTCGGGCTGTTGTTGACGACTTGGTTCCATCCACACAACCTGCAGTTGAGGAGAGTAGAAGACATAACACGAGACAGAAGCAATATCAGCCGAAGAAAAGGCGACATCCATAATTGTATTTTTTTGGCAATATAATGGTCATTTTTACCATTGTAATATTATGAAAGGACAATGTAATGGTCATTGAATACATTTGTATTGTTTCTTTAGGATGTTGTAAATGACTCTATTTTTTGGGGAATTATTTGTACTTGGTCGTGCTATATATAAGATGTGGTTTCTATAAGGTTGCAACCTTAAACAATCCAATTAAGGTGCACTTCCGAAGTTTATCATAACATGTATTAAAAATGCTTAAGATAAAATTCATCAAAAAATGCACCTACTAATTTTATCATAACATGATCTAAAAATCTATTTTCATATCTAATTATAAAAATTAAAACTTTAAAAATGTTAAAATCAAGTAGATCTATAAACATATGAAAATCTTGAACAACCGAAATTGAGATAATTGAAATAGTTTCAGTTGTAAAATACTGTTTTGAATGTTAAAAAATGAATGTTCAAGTAGATCTATAAACATAACGTTGTAAAATACTGTTTTGAATGTTAAAAATGAAAAAAAAAAACATTTTTGGCTGTTGAACAACCGAAACTCTAGCAATTTCGGTTGTTCAACAACTGGGAGCTTTTGGAATTCACAGACCGAACAACCAAAATTGCTATAATTTCGGTTGTTGACTGTGGCAAAGTTGGCCATTATAAAAACAAATACAGGATCCAAAAGAAAATTAATTCTTTAGAATTAGAAGACCATATCAAAAAACAATTATTTGAGATACTCCAAATTGAAAATGAAATTTCAGACTCTTTTGAATCAGATAAAGAAATGCTAATTGGAGAAATCAATGATGAAGATATCATTTTTAGTAGCTCCGATTCAGATTCTGATTATGATAAAATAATGGAAATTATAGCAATTTCGGTTGTTCAATGGCCGAAAATGTTTTTTTTTTCATTTTTTAACATTCAAAACAGTATTTTACAATGTTATGTTTATAGATCTACTTGAACATTCATTTTTTAACATGCAAAACAGTATTTTACAACGATCTAACTCGAGAATTCTTGAGTTGAACTAGTCGGCTTGGGATTGGTCCAAGTCGAATTTAAAACTATGACATAAATATTGTTAAGTTTTCTTTTATTTGCCATACAACACTTGTTTGTGCTATTTCCTTTCCATCTTAGGAAAGTATTTTGTAGGGTCGTTCTTTCATAAAGCCACGCCTCAAATCTCATAAATAATTAAAAATTAAATTGTAGTTGTGCACCAAACAAGCTGCAAATTGTTCATATCCTCTTTGGAAGGAATAGATTCCTAGCCATATATATAGCAATTTAGGTTGTTCATAAGCATTTTTAAATCACTCATTTCATTAATTCAACACAAGATTGACGGCATCTAAATCACTCATTTCATTAATTCATCAAATTTTTAATTCTATTAAAAAACACAAGATTGCCAACAAATAATTCACTCTATTGACTCTCTGCATGTCTTCCTATTATGACCCACTATGCTGCATCATTTGCATTCCATAGGCTTGGTGATGGGTTGTTCAGTCTCAGATATTTTTTGTTGCTTTTTCGGCCTACCGGGAAGGCATGTCGTCCTTAGTGGCAACACTGTATGGTTGATCATACCAGTCAACTCAATATCATTCAGGACAGGGCCAAAGGGAGTCTGAAAGGCCCTTTTAAATGTTTCAACTGTGAAATACTGAAGGCAGTACGTTGTTGGATCCAAATGCATATGGTTAATAGTCGTAATCACATGAGTACACGGTATACCACTCAGTTGCCATTTTCTACAACTACATGTCCAAAAAGTTAAATCGATAGCGTACTTCTTCCTAAGATAGTGGATCTCAAGTTTTGTATCCATGGCGGATATAAGTATATGCAAAATTCTAGCCTTCATCTTTCGAAAGTCCAGTAAATTATAGGCTTTTGGTAATAACAGGCCGCTTCAACTATTACCTGCCTCCCTCTTCTCTTCAAACCTGGTCATCAACTGTACCCTTATTTCTTCACACATTGTAATGATCGGTTTATCTCGAGTAGACATTATCCAAGCATTGAATGACTCGGCTATGTTAGAGGTAAGACGCTTGTATCTTGTCCCTGAAAACTACGCATCTGCCCAATGTTTGGAAGGGATATTCTTAATCCACTCATATGCATCTCGGTCAGCACACTATATGTCATACATAATTTTTTCAAACCCACTAATGGTTGCCTTACAGGCAGCCTTCCAAAACAATATCAGCAATACTTTAATATTGGCTAACTTCTTCATGAAACCCTTGAAGTTCTCTTCCATATGTCACATGCAAAATGCTGGAAAACACATGGGAAAGAATTTTTCTATTGCTTTTAGCAGGCTTTTCTGTCAATCTGATATAATTGTTAAGGTAGGCAGATTAGAAAACTCATATAATAGCTCACTCAGTACACTCAAAAACCAATACCAACTCTGGTAATTCTCCTTCTCGACCACTACTAATACTAATGGAATGAGCCCATTATTTGCATATATAGAAATGGTGCACAATAACATGTCTTAATACTTTACTTTTAAGAATGTCTCATCAATACCAATTAGTAGCTTGCATCCATTAACAAAATCCATGATGCATGGACGATAAGCAATGAATAGTCATTTGAACCTGCCTTCATCTGTGTCAATGCGAACTACAATTCTTGGGTTAGTTATTCGAAGCTTCTTCGCATAGAAGGGGAGACCATGATATTGTTGTTCATGTGATCCATCTATCATCTCTCTAGCAACCTCTTTTTCCCGTCAAGCTTGCATGTAGAAACACCTGACACCATGATCGTGTTGAACATCATTTACAATATCTTTAACTTTAATTTTTGGTTGGTCAATAAGGTGGGCTTTAATTTTTTTGGCCACCCAATTATTACGAGCTAGTGGCTAATGGACCCTCCCCATTGGACCACTACATGTGTACTCCTTAACCATATATTTAACTTTGAAGTAAGTCGTACTGTCAACTCGTAAGCACCGCACTTGTCATGTGCATCCCTTTGCCTTACAACTTGCCCATACCCGTCCCAATTCACTTTTGTCAAACTTCATAACAAAATTATTATGAATTGCAAAATCTACAAGATGACGTCGGCATTCATTGACACTTTCAAACTATTGTCCTATATTCAATTGAACCTCATTATCAACTCCTCCTATACATGGGCTCTCTAGTGCTTCAATATCTTCCATATCACGCTCTGATACAAGCTCAGGGTCAGGCGCCACTTGAATGTCTTGATCTTGATCAGGTAAAGTATTACGCCGGCTATTGACAAAAGATATAGTGTAAGATGAAACAACAATAAAAAATTTATACATTAAAGTAAATTACAGATGAAAAGTAAATTATAGATGTACATGTTTTTTGAAGATGGACCTTCACTAATAGATTCCCCTTCTGGCTCCATTGTAGATGCAATATACACAACAATTTTCGAAGATTCCCGTCCCAACATAAAAGATACATTTACATCATCACTTACATCAATCAAATCAAGCCCATTAGGAAGACTTGTGTTGTGGCACATAATAGTTAATTTGTTTGGATCACATATTATTAAATTACCAAAATGACTTTTTATTTCCTCCAAATAACTATTTTCATTATACTTTGTAACCTTCAATTTTTCCCCTTTGTAAAAGATACGACCGTCATCTGCATTCGTCTCAAATGACCCCCCATATCGGAATACTAGTTGCACTCCCTCAATAACCATCGTCAATGCTACTGTATTAAATGAATAGCAAAATTTGTGTCACAATAAATTGAAACAATAAAGAATGTAAAAATTTTGGATATTTCTAACTACTTTAGGGTACATAAAAAGTGAGTATTACATAACAAAACCAAATAGTGTACTACTATAAAAGGACAAATAATCAATAAACAACAAAAATAACAAATACTGAAACAAACTCCAAATAAACTACAAATATTAACACAAACGAACAAGTTCAACAATATTTACTCAATACAATAAATACAATGTATCAACATAAAACAAACAATACATATTTATACAAACAACAAATAATTATACAAAGAAACACATTCATCAATATTTTAACAAATACTATTTATTAATCAACAATACATAAAAATTACAAATATAAAAATATGCTATTCTATTCTACTCATTGCAACAAAACTAACAAAAAACAATCAACAACATAAGGCAAGAGTAAGTACCAAACCAATCACGACAGCGGGCCAATCTCGTGGGATACTGTATTGGGGGAAAGTAAAAAAGGTATGGATCCATATATGGTACTATATTTCCTGCTTTTCTCCAACTTTATACCCTAAAAAAATTTTCTTACAGTAAAAACATGCGAAGTATTGGCGTGACCATTTTCAGTTAATCAAAAGCCAAAGTTCATAAATTTTTGGTTGTTAAAAAACCAAAATCATGTTTTCGGTTTTTGAACAACTGAAAATACAATTTCGGTTGTGAAAACAACGCACTCCACAGTTTTGGATTTTGAACAACCGAAATTAGGTTTTCGGTTGTTGAACAACCGTAACTAGAGCAGGAAGGTCAAAAGACCTATTCCCGTTTTCAGTTGTTGAAAAATCGAAATTTTTTTGATTTCGATTATTTAACACCTAAAAATGGGTAAAATCATCTTTTTAAAAAAGCTCGTTATGAAAGTGTAAAAACGGACATGGAGGTAATAACGGAAACTGAAAGGTGGATCTGTAATAACGCATAATATAACGGATATATACGTAATTTTCTCTAAAAAGTAATACAACAAGCTTTCTTGCTAAAAAAAAAAAAACACAATACATCTTCTTTTTTTCTTGTAAAAAAAAAAGGTAATAAAACAAATCTT